TCCAAAGCCTTATCATTCGACAGTGGAAGTTCATTGCCAAGTGAGTCAGTTTCTTTTTTCAATCTGTGGCCGATTCCTTACACAGATGACTTTTTCTTTCTTTCTGTTGGTGGAACTACCAATGAAAGCGGTCAATCTTTCCTTTGTTCCATTAATTTTTCGCTGTGAATAACGCTTAGGAGGCATAAAAGCATAATAAAAGGTTCAACGAGGTTCAGAAAGAAGTCTCGAAAGTTTGTGAACTATGACCTAAAATTAGGGGTATGTTGAATAGGAGTTTAGCTTCCAAGGCGAACCGCACAAAGCTCTAGGTAAATCTCAAAATGTTCAAATTGATACCTTTTACCATATATAAAGCCAGGGAGTACTCATTGTTCGTCTTTTCGCTTCGATGTTTCATAAGCAACAACATCAGTGAAGTATATAATAGGGGAAATGAGCCATACCGGTAATTTCATGCCGGTAAGCGCGAATCCCAAGAGTAAAAGCCACCTTGCGCAAACGAGATTTTCACTGAAGGCGACCAGGTTCTTCTTTAGATTGTTATGAGCTATTCTTCAAATTGTCGTTTTTTCTATGCTTCAATAATTCGAGAAATCGTTCGTTATTAATGCGTTTCTCATAAATTCCCTCTTTTTTGAAAGCTTATTGTTGCGATTTGCAAGAGCAGCGTGATAAAAGTGACATAATCAACAAATGGTCAGTGTTAGATAATATATGGGTAATATGAGCTTTCATTCACGCATTCAATCCTGCGAAAAGAACTCTCAGCTCTGTGTGACTGAGATTTGATGTTATCGAACCTTGCGGTCGATCTCGTAGTCAGGCCGTCATCTTCTGTGGTGGCTGTTGTGCCGCTAGCGACGAAATATGACAGCCGCATAGGCTGGCTGGAAAGTAGAAAAAGTATTTTTGTGAACAAGGGTGCGCCGAAAAAAGGGCAGGTAGGTTTCATCTTCTCGACCTCACTGACACGTGCATTCCAGGCAGTATCCTGAGAAGTAATATCCAAAAAGGTCGTCACCATATGAGGGAAGAAAATTTTCTCTTCTAGTCAAGGGTGTGTCTCTCCAAATTGATGGGAGTCTTGCCTGGGAATATGTATATTTCTGCTGAAGTCTTTTGGTATCAATAGTTGGCCATCCTGTGCATATAATGTATTCTGTGGCTCCTCTAACACATCAGCCTTACCCTCGTGATTTCCTTCTGAAGCAGTGATTCAGTGCTGTCTTCTGGTGAGGTCATTTCCGATCGACTATAACTAGACCATCTCTGAGGCCGTGCTTTTTGGATTTAGTGTGGCCCGCTCTGCATCCGATTTCCCCTTTGCGATTTAAATCTCGGAAGGTTGTGCCTTGCATCCAAAGTTTATAGATTGCGATTCCAATATACCTTTTGTTACTGCGGTTTTTTTGGTAGCCTTGGTGGAAGTTCGTGAACTGCCATTTCTTTCGCAGATGGTTTTCTACGTAGGATACCGTGGAATACCTTGTACATAGCAACACTACCAAACTTAGTTTGTTTATGTTGTGCACAACAAAGTTTTGTGCACTCCTGCAGCGGGTGGAAGGGCCGACCACTCTAGGAAATGGGAGAACCTAGTGACTTCACACCGGGTTTTATGCCGGACAGCGAACATCTCGTGACTCCGTCCCTTGTCAGAGTGAGGGCTTAAGAATTCATCGAGAGTATCTGAATAAAATTGAATAAGCAAGTAAAAAGAAGCCTGACATGTGATGCGCATACACGTAGATAGTATACTTATAGAAAAACTCCATGAAAACTCCAAAATATTTTGGAAAAGTCTTAACTGCAAAATTTCTGACGTGTACTTCTCGAACCAAATACGAATAATGGGGATGAGGAACTCTTATTCTTCAAAAACGTCACATAATATTGGAAAAGGGCTATCCTGACAAAGCTTCGCTAATATTTGCAAACGATCGTGCTTGCCTTCGACAAGATGAGGACACTGTACTTTCCGTGGTGTCGGCGTTCTACATATTCGAGAACCTCTTCAAATGTCCAGGCTACCACACGTTTTTCTTAACGACCTCCGTTGTGGTTCATTGATCGAGCTTTTTGCGCATAAGTCCGATTAGTTGACCATGAGCATGTTACCTTGCCGAGGAATCAGGTCTAATTTTCGCTTCTCCTTTTGAGTTCGAACTTTTAAGTTTTTCACACTCTTTCCCTTCTAACATTTTCAGTGAAATTTCAACGGAAAGTTTTCAACGAGGCTACCTGCAAGGGTACCTAATATAACTAATACTTTGACCTTTTCCAGAACTATGCGATGGTGTGAAATTTTACGTTTTCACAAGCGATGGCAAGTTTTCTCCTTGAAGTGAATGTTTTCCGAAGAGTGTCTGTCTGTGTCAAGTGATTTGCATGATTGCATGGTCTTATTACTTCAGTGAAGAAGCATCAATTTTCAAATTAGTGGCTCTTACCTAATGTATTGCACTACTCCCACATACGAATTGATGCCTTGGTTTGTTTCGGGTGGGTTCCAGGTTAAATCAAGTATGGACTAGTTAGGGATTAGGTCTCATTATTTCTTTCATGGTCCAGAACGTACAAGGAGTGGGCGGAATCGCTGAAGGACGTACTGAGTAAGTCCACGGATGCTGGAAGTCGAATAAACGAATTTTTCTTATTGCTCGCCAGAACATAATCGTGCCCAAGGCGCGACAGTTTCTTCATCACTTGAAAAAACTCAGAGGCCGCAGGGCTACCATTTTTTCGAAAATACCCCTCCAATATCGGATCGCTACGTTGTACTTGTGAATGCCGGCTGGGTGAAGAACTGTTCTTGTGAGCATCGTTGAAATCTGAGGAAGGCTACTTGAAATTTCGGAGGTGTAATATAAACAGGATTCCCGAGAAATGCAAACACCGTTTCCATCTTCGTGTCCAAACGTTGTTTCCACAACTTAACACCGTAACCTGTGATTGTGGATAGCAATACTGCTTTATAGGATATTAGTTTTTCATGCATGTTTATTATGCAGGTATGCATAATAGGTGCAATGTTTGAACCTATGAACAACTAACATAAGTACAACATATGAAACATTTTTAAACATTATAACAAATCAGCAGATGGTAGGAGGGTTTTGTATAATGAAATTGTTTTTCGAACTATTCACGAGTTTGTTAAACCTGAGAGGATCAGAAACAATTTGTTGGCCAGCCGTTTGTACACCCCTATTGAAGCTCGAACCTCTCAGGGCAGAGATGAAGTTGAAAGAATAGCCACTGACAATTTTCTGGATAGTTTCGAATGTTGAGTGGTCCTTCTTTAGACCCTTCATGTCCGTTCGTGAGACGGTTTAGAGGCGGTTCGAACTTCAGTAGTAAGGCCATGGAGACATTTGGTCAATTACTCACAGACTCTTTTTGATTCTGTCAAGCTCTGTAGAAGGCAGTGCTGTCAAAACGTAAGCCCGATAAAGCTTCCATACGAATCTCGTGGAGAGTTCAAGGGAACAATTCCACTATACATCAAATAATCATGCCGCGGTTTATAGAAGGCACAGGCTTAGAGAATTTTTGAAAGGCTTTATTCGAGACAATTTCACTACCTAGCCAAATAGGAAGAACCAAGACGTTCATAAACACTATAACGACTTCTCGTGCCTTACAACTTCTAGTATGTTCGTGTCTTTAGGTGATCGTGTAAATGAAATGTTCTTGTTTGGAGGAGTTGTGTGTCAATAGAACGATTTCCAGCGTTGCAATTGTAGCATGGTTTTGCTCATTAATAGTTGAATTTTTTAGTTACATGGATGTACTGCTTTCAGTCTCCCCTACGACCAAAACGGGCGGTTACTACTTATATGGCAGGCGAGATTCTATTAACAAAACACGATTTCTTCTAGTCAGAACGAGGTAATCTATCAATTGACTATTGAACTTTCATTCATTTAATATTCAAATCATTTAAGCAAAGTTTATAGTCATGGTGATGGTAAACAAGCCTTTAAACGTGTAACACTCCCTGGAGGGTCGACGGTAATGCAATTGAGGAAGATGATTGAGAAATCCATGCGGAATGGTGTGGTAAAGTCTATATGGACCCTACCTGATAGGGTAGGTTACTTGGTGACTGTATAAGGTTCTAGTAAATGGTGTATCAATTTGCTTTGATTTTTTTATCACTGCTTTGAGTGTATGCCTTTGCCTCCGTTCCATTTCTAGGATTTTCCAAGTGCTGCTTCGATAAAGCCCCGTCCATAGTTCAGGCCTATTCTGTTAAGCCGAGATAGTAGATCTGTTGCTTAAATCAATACTAGACTAAAGCAGGGTGAATTTTATATGTTACATCCCGTGTGGGGCTATCCGGGAGACGGGCAGTTGAATCGGTTTTATGTA